ATGGCCTCAATAAGGTTACATACACATTATCTTATTTAATCTGCATAACAAACCCATGAGCCAGTATTATTATTTCCTTTCTTCAGATGAATAAAAGGAGGTTGATGCACACTAAGTAACCTTAAGGTTATATAGCTAATAAATAGTGGAGCCAGGACTGGAACTTGAGTCTTTCAGTCACCAAAGCACAAGCTCTTAACAAATCTACGAGCAAAGATGATTTCCAATATAAACAATATCATTTAAGAATAAAAATACTTAAGAATAACTTTAACAAAAATAAGTGTAAGACTTTTCCACTGGAAACAACAAAACATTGTTAAAGGAAATTAAAGATTTAAATAAATGGAAAGCCTTCCCAGGTTCATGGATCAGAAGACTTAACATAGTGAAGATGGGAATACTCCACAAATTGGTCTACAGGTACAAAACATTATCTAGCAAAATCCCAATTGGATTTTTTTACAAAATTGAGAAACTGATCCTAAAAATCATATGTAAATGCAAGAGATCCAGAAGAGCCAAAACAATCTTGATAAAAAATAAAGTTGTTGGATTCACACTTCCCAATGTCTAAACTTATTATGAAATTATAGTGATAAAACAGTGTGGTACTGGCATAAGAAGAGACATCTAGATCAATGGAATAGAATTACGAGTCCAAAGATAAATATTAACATTTGTGGTCAGTTGATTTTTGACAAAAGGGCCAAGATAATTCAATGGGAGAAAGAATAGACTATTTTTTAGACCAACATTTTATTTTAGAACAGTTTTAAATGTACAGAATTATTGTGAGAATAGTCTTTTCAACAAATGGTTCTGGGATAATTGGATATCCACATGAAAAGAACAAATTTGGATCCCTATCTACACCATAAACAAAATCAACTTAAAGTAGTTCATAGACCTAAATGTAAGAACTAAAATTATAAAACTCTTGAAGAAAACTCATGTGAAGTCTTCACGATCTTGGGTTAGATGATGACTTCTTAAACCTGACAGCAGAAGCACAAGTGATAAAAAAGAAGGTCAATAAGTTGGACTTCATCAAAATTAAAAAACGTTTACACTTCAAAGGACACCATCAAGAAAGTGAATAGACAACCTACAGATACGGAGATAACATGTGTAAAATATATGCCTGCTAAGGAAGCTATATTCAGAATACTAGGGGTCTTCAGGAAGTTCATGGAAAGATTCGTATTATCTTTTAATTCCATTTTTCCACAAATTTTTTGAAGTACCCTCAGATATAAAGAACCCCTGCAATTCAAAAATAAAAAAAAACAAATAACCTAATTTAAAACTGGATAAAGGATTTGAATAGTTAGTTCACCAAAGATAAACAAAAGGCTAATGAGCTCATAAAAAAACACCCAATATCATTAGTCATTAGGTAAATGTCATTCAAAACCACAATGAGAGACCATGTCATAGCCACTAGGAAGGCTATAATCAAAAAGACAGACAATAACAGTATTGGCGAGGATGTGACAAATCAGAACCCTCACACCCTGCTGGTTCGAATGTAAAATGATGGGGCACTTTGGAAAATAGTCTGACAGTTCCTTGAAATGTTCAACAGAGTTACCGTATCACCGAGCAATCCCACTCCTTGCTATCTACCCAAGAGACATGAAAGCACAAGTCCAGGAAAAACCATAAAGTACTGAAATATTCTACAGCACAGATGGACTTTGAGAGCATTATGCTAAGTGAAAGAATCCAGTCACAGAAGGCCACATATTGTATGATTCCACTTGCCTGAAATGGGTAGAATAGAACCTGTGGAGACAGAAAGCAGATTAGTGTTTGCCTAGGGCTGGGTGTGGGGACAGATGAGGAGTGACAGCTAATAGGTACAATATTTTTCAGACAATTTGACAAAAATGTAAAATTAGATTACAGGTTACACAATTCTGTAAATATACTAAAATCCATTGAATGGTACACTTTAAGTGGGCGAACTTTATGATATATAAATTGTATCCTAATAAATTGTGTGGTTTTTTTTTACATGTGAATGAAATGAGAGAAATCGGGGGAATATCTTGAACCCATAAAAGTTATTTTCTTTTTAAATTAGCAGTATACAACTGCATATGTTGTAGCAGAGGACGGGGTGCTGCAGGTGGGATAGAGGCCAGGGAGGTGTCACTGTACTTACTTCTCTGTATCGCCAAGTGGATGGTTTACCCAATTCCCTGACTTTATCCTCACCGTTGGTGTCAACCCCAGAGCACACATCGCAAGGATCTGTGTCTCACTTAAGCTTACTAATCATTTCTGCTTCTTTCCTTTCTTTTTCTGTTCACATTATCCCAGTCCCACAAGGTAGAGTAAAGGAATAGTCAGCCTCTGTTTATCTTATTACAGAAATAAACGCCTATGTATGTGAAGCAAGCAAGGCCACTGAGCCTTTGGGAAACAGAGCAGGGAGGTGCCCAGAGGCATTTTCTGCAGAGAGGGAAGAAAAGAATAAACAAACCTTCTGCCAAAAATGCCTGGAACTTAAAGCGCTTTCCTCAGCCCAAGGTCAGGGTTTGTGTGGACACTGACAGTGAACCTGATCAGTGGTTGGGGCTCCCTTGATTAAAAGCGTGTGGCTGGGGCCGGCCCGGTGGCGCACTGCTGTAGTGCGCCGCTTGGGAAGTGCGGCGTCGCTCCCGCCGAGGGTTCGGATCCCACATACAGACCGGTTCCCGCTCACTGGCTGAGCGAGGCGCAGGAGCAACACTGAGGGTTGCGATCTGTTGCCGGACACGGAAAAAGACAAAAAAAAAAAAAAAAGCGTGTGGCTTTCTCTCTTCTGACGTTTACCTCTGCTAATTCCACCTGCCTAGGGATTCAAACCCCACAAACCAAGTGTAATTCCTCAGAGTGGCAACTGGCAGAGCCCCCAGGAATAAGACAACTATACAATGTCCCTAGCCACCAGAGTCATAGGTTTTCTGAGCCAAAGACAGAGGTCCCTGTGACCAGACACCCACCCCACAGTGGGAAGGAACGCTATGGGGCAGCATTATTGAGAAGGCCACCAATACCTCCCAACCCCTTTCTGCAAGTGGCTGGGAATTCCTGGCTTTTGTCTTCCTCTTGCAAGGAAAAATTTACCCTAAGGGAATCATGGAAAAGTACTAGCTACAGAACCATAACCACAGAGGGAGACGGTACCTCCGAGGTCATCCTTATCCTGAGCCCAGACACCCCCATAAGCGGATGTTCTCTTCCTGCCGCCCCTCCTCACCTTGGCTTGAACACAGCCATTCCCAGCACGCTCACTCGGTCCCTAAAGCAGCTACTTCCAGTAGAACAATGGCTACCACTGTCAAGTCTAGATCTGTTCCCTGTCACTTCCAGTCCCTCCTCGTACTCTGAACCCACACCAGAGTTACTACTCCTTTGCTGGGTCGTGGAGTCTTTGAGAGCACTCTCCTGTCTATCATAGTCTTCCTGCCTGCTCCAGGCTAATCCCTTTAATCTCACTAGCCCTCCCACCCACATGCATGAGGCCAGGAGGCAACAGAGACAAGCCTGGGCTGTGGCTCTCTCTGTGATGCTCTGTCCACTCTGGCTCTCAGACCCTGCACAGGCCTGCAGCCACCAGACCTTGATGGCTTTGTCTTGCACTTCTAGCTTCTCATCCCCACATGGACCTGATGACAGACTTGCCCTCCTGGCCACTCTGGGTAACCCACACACTGGCCAAGCCTCAGACCTGGTATTTACCAGTCTCAATCAGGAGATCATGAAGCCTCTCAAACCTAGACAGAATATCCTTAATTGTTCCATTGTTTCCTTGCAGGATTTGGTTTCAAATCCCATCTTTATCCTTTTTTCCCTCTCCTGGACAGAGTGCCCTTAGTCAATATTCCTTCCTTCACTCCAGCCACTCAGCATAGTGGTTAAAAATACAGGATCTGAGATCAGATAATCCAGGCTCTGCCACTAACTAGCTGTGAGTCTTTAGAAAAGTGTCTTAACCTCTCTGAGCATCCATTTCTTCATCTATGGAATTGGGAATAATATTAGTACCACCTCATAGCTTTGTTGTGTAATATCAATAAATGAAATAATGATCATAAAGCACTTAGCACAGAGGCTTGAACATTCTCTGTAAGTATTCAATATATGCCCTCTACTATTCGTGCTTTATTTTTAAATTATCATTCATTCATTCATTCATTATATATTTACTGAGCCTCATGCCAGGCACTTAGATACAAATATCCCTCTTTAAAGAGTGGTGCCTTCTCAAATCCAGAAACAGCTAGCTCACACTGGCACCCAGCGAGCATGGAGCTGAGGCCCGCGCCACAGCACGAGAGCAGAGGAGAGCAGACACTGACTGCCGGGTGCTGCCCACGGATGGTGACAAGAGTGCCTTGCACCTGTCCACATCTCTTTTAATACCACTGCAGCTCCCTGGGGAAGGTGGCACCACAGGAAGAAGGGGGACGGCAGGGTAAGTGAGAGGTCCCCAGGGAAACGACCTCTTCTCTTCTTCCCTGCTCTCTCTTTGACAGAGAGCAGCAGGAGAGTGATGTCCTTTGGTGAGGTCTTGTTGAATCTGTCTGGGACTGTTCCGGAAGTAGGAAGAGTGGTCGGGGGTGGGGAGACAGCAGGAATGTTCTGGCCTGCTGCTCAGTGCCGGCGGGTGTGCTGAGAGGAGGGCCTCTGGACATCAAAGGTTCCTTTTGTCCCCTTCCGAGTGGCAGGGCAGCCCGGCCGCTGGTGATGACTCAGGCCTGGCCCTGACGTCACCCACGCCCGGCCACTGGCCTCCCTCTGCAGCCAGGAAACTGGCTGGGGAGTGGCACTCGCAGCTGCAGCAAATCTCAAAATAAGGAGGCGACCGCCTTTCTCCTGCTCTCCATCTCCCCACAGCACACCTTTCTTTTCTTTTCTTCTTCTTCTTTTGTTTTAAAGCCTCATGGAAGGTTTCACATGTAGATCAACTTTCAAAATGTAGCAAGTCAGAATGGGTGACATCATCAGAAAATTATGTGGAGCTGATCTCGACCAGAAGTGAAGAACCAGAGCAAGAAAGCGGTTGTAATTCCTGAGCCAGGGAGTTGGCAGCATCTGGGCTTCCGAGGAGCCAACGCCTCCGAGTAAGTGAAGGCCCACCTTTGGCCCCCCTTGCTCAGTGCCCTTCGCTGTGGTGCGCCATCTTGTTCCCTGACACCTGAGGCTTGGCAGGCCCAGCCCAGAGGGGGACGTGGGGATTGCCTTTGGGAGACCCTCTGAATACAGCCCCAAAGGGATCTGATCACTCTCTTCTCCACAGGACCAGACAAGAACGCAAAAAAATTTTTTTAAAAGATATTAAGGCTAAAACTCTGGGGAAAATGGCGTAATCCAGTGCCTTTCCCTGTCAGCCCTCTTGTTTTATCTCTTCTTCCTCCTCTCGGCCAAGTACTCTGTTTCGGACTGCCGGAATGTTTGTTCAGAGTTCTAGATTGTTTGCTTCCTGGATCTTACATCGAGTGATCAGGCATAAAAATAAGCCCTATTTTAGGCAAATATGTAACCTGTGCCGTCAAATGGTATTTTCACATTTAACCTGGTAAAAGATGGCAGCCCAGGAAAGAAAACGTCAACTATCTAGCTGCCTTTACAGAGCATGTTTCCGGTTTTTTCCGGTTGTTTCTGGTTGTTTCTAGTTGTTCTGGTGTACGCATCTCCATTTTCTCATCACCCTATTTACAGAAGGCTTATTTTCATTCCCACTTGTACTATTACATCTGGGATTATATTAAACACAAAGACACATTACAATGTGACATTTTTAACTTTGTCTAAAAATTCTTAGGTCTTTGCATAGCTATAATTTTACAAGCTCTGGAAGTTCCTACCCAAGAAAGTTAAGTCCCCAAGAGAAAAGTTTTAACGTGTACATAAGAACTGCAGAACACATAAGCATAGAAATTATACCCTAATTTTCCTGGTTTCTAAAGTCATCCCCTGGGTCAGCATCTGGTCTTTGTACAGCTTACTTAGCAGAGTAGGTCTGTTCTTCACAAATTCTATGTTTAAATGATTGGGGGGATATATTTTAAAAATGAATCTTTTTAAAAAATATTATTTATATAAGCATATTATTATTACAAATCATGATTTTTCTTTATGCCCTTTACTCAGCCTATCCCTCCTTAAACCTCCCCCCATCCACCCTGTTGAAAGGCAACAGGGAAGCTTGTCATTTACTGGAAAACTGGCACATTACTTTGGAAACTGACAACACCCGTTGGAAATTAACTATCACACTCTAACATATCTGATTTGTAGGTCTTAGATTTTATTTTTTCGTTTACTTTTCATATATCAGGTTGTCTTGACGTGAGGCTCTGCTGTACTACTGTTCCTCTGGCTGCAGGACCTGAGCACTGTGACCACTAATTTGGTGAGTGTCATTTGTCCTTAACAGCTGCTTAAATATAAGTCTACTAATTCTATTTTTTTGGTTTTGTTGTAAGATTTTTTAAAAGGGGAAAAGTGCACAAAGACTTCCACACACGATGATAACTGCTGTAATCAAAGAGGATATGTATTAGGATAGGCTAATTGCCACAATAGATCCCAAAATGTGTAATGGCTGAAACACAGTAAGAGTTTATTTCTCACTCACATAACAGTGCAGGTCAGTGGGGCAATTCTCTTTCATGTGTTCACTCAAAGACACAAGTTGAGGGAGGTTCTGCCTTCTGCAGTGTGTGGTTTTAGGGGTCACCTGGGGGTGTCTCCACTCCCCAGTGGAAGAAGAGTGTGAAAAAGTCCACATGGAGGCCGGTGGGTGGCTCACTCAGGAGAGTGTGGTTCTGATAACACCAAGGCCACAGTTTCAGATCCTACATAGTGATGGCCGGTTAGCTCACTTGGGAGAGCACGGTGCTGACAACACCAAGTCAAGGGTTAAGATCCCCTTACTGATCATCTTTTAAAAAAAAGCCCACGTGGGAGGTTTTTAAGGGCCGTACCTAGAAGAGTTACACATCACTTCTACTCACATTCCATTGGCTAAAACTCAGTCACATGACCACAACTAACCACAAAGGAGTCTGGGAAATGTAGTTCCTGGTGGGGCAGCTACTTCCAGTGACAATTCTGGAGAATTTCTAGAGAAGACATAGTTCTCTCTGGCACAGCACATCAAGGAATTTGGAGATGCCCAAGGATAAAGTTGCAGAATGGAGCAGTGGGAGAAGTTAAAAATTATCAGATATTTAGAATTCCCTGACATTCTTAGGTAACATCTGGCCAAGTGGGCAGGGAGCAGTGGGTAAGATTTCTCAAGACACCTCGCATGACCTTGAGCCTTCACGTGAGCACCACCATACTGCCAGTGGCCAGTGAACCAGGAGGGACATTCTTCCCCTTCTTTTACTTCCACGGTCCCTGTGGTCTAGGATCATTTTGGCTTTGATTCCTTTTCCTGGATCTAGTCATACTAGTTGGAATTGTCCAACAGAATTCTGCTCTACCCTACTGTGAGCCCCAGTAGCCTATAGGAAAGTTCATGGTTTCCTTAGCTCATGCTTCTGTCTGCTCCTGGGGGCTTTGGAAAGCTATCTTACCTGATATGCTCCAGGTCTTGGGACACTTAATCAAAGGAGAAAAAACTTTGACTAAGGTGAGACCTTCAAACCAAGTTACTAGAGAAACATTTAAAAATAGACTAAAAGGGCTCAGGCTGGTGATATAAATGCTACCCAAAAGGATTTGATATATAATTCTAGCTTTTTCTTTTCAAGAAAAGTTTTAAAACATTTACTAAAATAATGAGCAGTAAATTTATAAGCCCTGTTTGGAGAACCCTTAACTGTTTTTATACTTTATGTAGCCTTTTAGCCATTGTTGGTCTTGGTACAGAATTTCCTTTGCTGATAAACATCAGAAACCATATAGTGAGCACCTTATGATGCCTCTAACTTAAAGGGCTCTGATAAAAATAGTCTAGAGTCTTTGCCTGAACTGCCTGGTACCTAGTTCTCTAGTTTTGTCATCAATATCTAGCTAAACACTCTGGCTTCTGATAGAATTTTGCTCCTGGATTTGACATTTCTGGCACCCACATGCATACCCTGAAGAGCATGCGTTGTCCATTGTGTAGGAAGGCCTGTACTGGCCAGTGTGACACAGCCTCTCAGATTTCTGACAGAGCCTATGCCTAGCCTGCTCTCCTATTATTGCTGCCTAGCCTCTGTCCAGTCCTCTCACATTGGGAGTGGACCGAGGAGGAGTGGGATAGAATAACAAGTTGATTTGTTGCAAAAATATTTCCACCTCTGAAAGTCCATTTTCCTGGGTTTTTGGGGACTGAAATTGTCTACTGAGCCAGGATCTGGCTGGGCTTGTGGACTAAGCGGAAGATAAGACCAGGTTGAATGGGGGGACACAGTGCCCTCTAGAAGGGAGCAGCCCGAGGAGTAGGTTGAGAACAAGTACCAGGTTTCAAAAGCTGGAGCTAAATGGGGACAGTCTGTTGCTACAAGTCCCAGCCTAACAGAATCTGCCAGGAAGGACAGAGCCTAAGACCACAGTCCAAGAGGAAAGATGTCAGGGTTCATTCATTTGGGAGACTGGTTAATCACAGCTTGTAAATTTCAACTACTATCTTATAGGACTCCTCAAATTACTAAGTACACAGGAATTGACATAGGGTTGGGGATGAGGGTTGACCTCCTGATTTCTCATTTCTAGCTGCATTGGTAAGACAGGAAGAGATGTGTGACTACCAAATCAGGTAACCAGAATTTTACCACCATCAACAGTTGGTGTTTGAAAGAAAGCCACAGATCCCCATGACCATGTGACAGTGTTAGTACAGCACGCTGGATGACCTCACAGGCAACACCAGCAAGGCAGGGTTGTGTACGAATACACATTTTAGCACTGTGGTATGGTGGTAAGCACAGCTGCCTTCCAGGTAAATACTTTCATATTCAACATTTTCCAAAAAAGCGTCAAAGTAGACACCACGGGGGAAAATGTTAGACTTTCTTGAGCTTCCTTAACCTTAATTTTGTATTTTATTGGTTTTTTCAATTTTCGTTACACACGAGGGGTACGGTTCAAATTTGGGGCAGCATAGTCTTTTCAGAGCTTAGGTCATCTGAAGATCTTTGCCTGACCTTGTTGACTCACAATGAGCAGATGCGGATGGAGCATAGCAGTGTCACACAGGCTGCACCTAGACCACTTGGTTATTTTAACCCCAGAGGTTTTGTAATTGTCATAGCACAGAAGTACAAGCTCCCTTTTCCCCCTGGGTCAGCAGTATGAATGCCCTGTTACTCCCTTTAGAGGGTTTTGCAATAAGACTATGTCATATTCACCAAGGCTAAAAATTCATAGTAATAGGGCTTCATAATTTCTCATGCTGAAATCCCCTAATTTCTTGTCAAGAACCAATTTGGAAAACACCACACTGAAGACTTCAAGGTTTTGTTTTTAACTCAAGAAGCCTCTGGTTTTCATCAGAACTTAAAAGCTCCCTCCCACTTCTGAAATGGTATTTTTTAGAAATGTAACGTTGAGACTGTCAGAATAAGTAGCCTTTTATATGTGCAAAATGGTTTGGGCAACTCTAAAAAGTACATGTTAAGTCAAAGCATTGACAAAAATAATTACCATAGTTATGGTCAGCACTGGCATTTTGGCTTTTGATATTGCTATTAAGTATAATTATTTTTAAATTATTTTTATCTTTCTAAATTAACTTTCATCTGTAATTCTTAGCATGATTGCTAACTAGCCACAGCATGTGGTGTAAAGATTTCGAGAACATTTGGAAAAGTTTGATCTCAGAGGCCTGAGAGGCTTCTAATTTTATTCAGAGAGATGTTTGACCTGGGATTTACTGAAATCTTTGAGGGAGGATGGTTGAATCATCTCTCTGCCAAAAGAAGATGATTCCTGGCATTCTATGGGGCTCCCAGTGCTTTGGGACAAGGAGGCGTGGAAACCATTGCGTGGAAGCGTTGACTTTGGGTGGTTTCTCCCAAGACAGAGTGGGGCCCTTTTCTTTGTCCAAAAGCCTTCAATCATGAGTTCAGCCTGCTTAGCGTCATGGGGTGGAGGTGGGGCTTACACTGAGGCAACAAACATGAGCTCAACCCAAGAACAATAAAGATGTCATTTAAACTGGGAACTCCCCTCCATGTCCCAGATGCTACAGGCTGTTATCCTAGAGTTAGCAGGAAAGTAGAATCTAGTGAAAGGACTTTCTCATTGACCCAAATTTCTTGGCATTGACTATACCAAGGTACCTTGAAAAAGGGAGTGTAGCCTAAAACTGACCCCAGGCACAGGATTGAGCCTGTCTGTCCCCAGGCACAGGACTGAGCCTGTCTGTCATCTGATTACTCCGGCAGCAGCCAGGCCACGGCTGAGCGGGACTCGTAAAAGACCTCTTTTCCCTCTGTTTCACTCTATATCAAGCAAATTTATTTTTTTCTTTTAATAAAAATTATCATTATTTTTCAAATAAAAAGAGCCATACTAGTCACTGTGCAAAATCTGGAAAATACAGAAAAAAAATAACAAAATAATAAAAATGACCAGTAAGCCAACAATCGAGTCATAATTCAATATTAACATTTTGATGTTAATGTTTCTTTCCAATGTTTCTTTTCTTCTTTTAAAAATTAAGATGACGTTTTGTTCCCCCTCCCCACCTCCCATTTAACATAATGTTGTAAACATTTTCCCAAGTCATTAATTGGTCTTTGAAGGCAAGATTTTTAATGTATCTGTTTCCATTGTGCAGATACATCTTAATTTATCCATTCTTTTTTTGATGAATATTTTGATTGCTTCTAGTGTTCTACTGTTATAAATATATGAACATTCTTGTAGATAAGTCTTTGTGGACCTCATAGGGAAAATTCCTAGAAGTTGAATCACTAGGGCAAATGACCTGTTTTTAAAGTTCCTAATACATATGGGTAAATTAGCCTCTGGAAAGGTACCAGTGTCTATTTCAAAATCATGGTCCCCTTTAGTTTCTTATATTAAAATGCATGTTTCTAGGCCTCCATCGCAGAAGCTCTGAAGAGGGGCCCCAGGAGTATGCATTTTAATCCATCCTCCCAATTCTTATGCACTTTAAATCCTGAGAACTATTGACATATTGCATTCAGTTCAGTAAACGTCCAATTCAGCAAACAGTTATGAGAAAAAAGTTAGGGACCATGAGCTAGTATACCTAAACCAGAATTTAACTTAAGGCCTCTTTTTGACTTCTGAATTTTAGATTTTCCCTAAACCATGGTATGGTAACGTAAAAAGATTATTAGCTAGAGAGTCAGGACACCTTATCATAAATATGAGATCACTGAGGCCCAAAATGGTTTCTTTACTTCCTGGTGGTCACTCAGAGATTTAGTGGCAGAGATTGAACTA